AATGAACAATGTCTGGCTCCAACTTGGCAGCACAAATCAATCAATATTGAACAGCTATACAGACACAGACAGCATGATGCAAGAAGGGCATTGTGCAATATCAGGATATGCATTTTACTTGAGCAATTCATTAGTTTTGTGGTCAAGTAAAAGACAAACACTGGTGGCAAATTCAACGTATGAAGCTGAATTAATAGCTCTTGCAAGAGGAACACAGGAAGTGATTGCACTTACTCATTTAGCTGAAGAGATTCTGCAGGTCTCTGATGCACCAATTAATATCTATTGTAATAACAATACTGTTATACAAACAGTTACATTAGACAAACTCAAATATTCGGAACGAACGAAGCATTTAGATCATAAGAAAGATTTTATTAAATGCTACATTGAGTTAGAGTACATAAATGCGAAATACATACGAACAAACAATCAACAAGCAGATATATTAACTAAAGCACTACATGTACCACAAGTCAAACATCTTACCAGTTTACTCAGACTAGTAAGAGTTTGAAGGGGAGTATTATGAGATGATTAGTTCATCAACAGACGAACCACAAGACAATGACTTCATAATGTCTCAGTTAGAATACATACAATATAAGGACGAGAGACACTGAGCAGTCAATCGTGACCTCACCCCTTGTCTATGCGTGCCCCCCTTTAAGTTCTCCCTCTTATCAGATAGGGTATAGTAAGAGGGGAGTTTCTTTTTTTCAAGAACAAATGTGCTCATATGAACAGAGTAGCAATTGATGGAGTGCAGGGATGGAGATGTTGCTATCTGTTTGAAATTTAGCTGGCTGTCAGCATCTCTGAGTTTCGAGCATTCAGTATGAGTCAGACTGCAGATATGCTGACGTCTAGCTTGCTCCTACTGAATAGTATGTCAATGGTTGCTTGTTGTAAGTAGAGTTTATGCTACACATTTGCCCAGCAATCTATCAAAATTGTAATAATTGATACTAGGATTATTGTCCAGTTGGACAGCTCAACTGCTTGTTGATCACATGGCACCAATGACAATGCTTGTGCAAATGATCAGCACTGGCAGGAGAAACCAAGCTTCCTGTGTTGCATTTTTGCAAAAGTGCAACTTACTCCTCTGCATCCTCAAGCTAGACATCAATCCAAAGATATTGCCCAGTGGCCTTGTCATCCTCGATGGCAGACAGCAAAAATAGTCCCAGAGTAGATCCAGCAATGTGAATTGTTCCCTAACTCGGATTTGTGAGTGTTGGGGTGCCCCTAATAAATGTACCTTTTGTAACACGTCAATCTGGACCATCTTCACAGACGTTGGTTGCTGTGATTCTCCACAGGTACAGAGCTATGAAGGTTTCATTGTCCTTAATGCAGAATGAGAGAGTACACTAGCTGATGTTGCAGAGTTCCCTGGTCTTATGGTGCTTCCTACTATAAAACTCTCCAGTTATCTCTTTCTCAAACCAACATACTCTACAGCAACTCATTCGGACCTCTCCATCAACATGTGTATAGGCAATTGTGCTGAAGTCTCTTCTCACTTCATCAACAGCCAGCTGCAGGCATTGTATGAGAACACTGTATACTGTGCAAAGAAGCATCTTAATGGCCTGAAACCTTCAGAGAGTGTGGTTGAATATGCAACTTGCCTGGCTGAGTTCTATAGCCCAGGAAGGCATGTCTGCCATGAGCCATTGTGTCAAGACCTTGCTTTTTTCACAATGTTTGATTGCCTATGTATTGAGTTTGTGTGTAACCACAAGGTTGTCTTGTTCCTTACTTTGAACAATGGGCACTATAACCTCAACACTACCAAGTTTGCTCCAAAAAGGTAATTCTCACATTTGATCTTATCTTACAATGTAAACTGACCCCTGCTTAGGGAACTTCATGAATCTATTCAAAATTGTACAATTGTATTCTGAATTCTGTTCAGCTCACATACAATAGAGAAGTTCCACTACAAATCAATTAGTAATACAGACCACTACACAAGCATCCTTCATGTGCTGGATATGGACTGTAAGTGAATGTATTAGCTCTGACAGTTTCACTTCTCTAATGTTTGTTCTCAGCTGCTACATTTGTACCTGAACACTCTTTCATTCCTGGATTTTTGGACAATCAGGACAAACACAGCTTCTATACTAGGGACTGTAAGGTAGCAGCATTGATGTATTATCTTGCCAAATTTTACTTACTAATGATTAGACATGCCAGCCATCATGTTCTGTACTTGCTTCTGGATTTTGATAACCTTACCAATACTACAGTACATATTAATTATTCTGTGATTAGTACTTGTTCCCTTACAACAGATACCCTCTTTAGTATTTGTGTAGAAGACATCAATGTCTACCTCTGTAGACTCTGGCTCTAGGCAGCTGCTTCCCTGGATGAGTACAGTCATTCTATCAACCATATCTTACACACATTCCTTGTAGAGTTGTGTTTGCCTCCTATAGACAATGTTGATGACATGCACATACACTTGTACTTTGCTCCACTTCATGTCCAGCCTCTATGCAAATGTGAAGTTATCCTTTATTTGGATGTCCAAGATATCCATGTGCATTTTGGAGGGTTTAGTAGGTAAGGTTCTAAATAAAAAGACTTGAGGCTCATTCTCACTTCTAATAGCATCACTTAGCCAACTAAGAGAACAGCTACAGGATTGGAAAATCGCTTTCATTGTTAACATTGTCTTTGAAGAGACTGATGGTACAAAGTGTATCAAGCTTGACTTGCAGAGTGAGTGTTCATTTTTGTATATAAGACTCATTAATTAACAGTCTAGCATAGTTGCACATTTCTGTGATCACCTGTCTGTGTTCAGTAAGTATCATGACATTGAGATACTACTTTGCATTAAGACAGCCCTTGTCTGTCAGATCACTACCTACTATCTCAATATCCTTGAGATGTTGGAAGTGATAACCATATTCCACTACAACATTAATATTCATGGTGGTACATACAGTAATACAGGCAGTAATTACAACATTATTAATGTTGACAGATGTTCCTGTCAAGACAAAGGTTCTTGTGGACACACTGGTGGTATCTGCTAGGGAGTTATTCAGAAGCACATCCTGACACAAACACACACAAACAAGTATGACCTTGTCACTGTGTTAACACAGGGCTCTATCAATTTGCATTTCAACATACTTTAGGAATCTACACATTACTGTCTTACTTTTGCATCCTCTAGCAAGGCAGTATGAATGTGAGAGAGTACTGAGCTTGAACTGGAGGTGTGCCTTGTAGACTACTCGTTTGTACACCCCAGACATAATGATGAGGTCTTCTTTACTGTAAGCTTCAAAGCACCTAAAATCCAGCTTGTATACAAGGAGGGCTCCCAGAAAGTGATCTTTTATCTCTATCTATCTGAGGGATATCTTAAGATGCTAGGTTCTGGAAAGAGTCTTCAGCCAGGGTAAGTAATACTCTCTGTACTATAGAGTGATCACAGGCTAAGGTGTCTATCTGTCAGGTCAAACACTTATTCCTTCTCTAATTGGCACCTCACATTCAAAGTAGACCTGAAAATTATAGACTCAAGGGAGGACACAACTCCTAGTGCCATTCTCAAATGCTTGGGCCTCAGCAAGCCAGATGGCCTAAAGCAGCTTGTCCTTGCTCTATCTAGTAGGTGTTGATTAAAGAAACACCTACAGGTTCTAGAGTCCTGACCTCTTTTATTACAGCTGCTAGACTAAACTTGTTGCTTTCAACCATCCCAGGACTACTTAATAGTACTGACTATTATACTATTTGTGCCCACTGTGAGGCTCTTGTTTATTACATCCAGGCATGCTACTTCCTGGTCCTGAAGCATGTACACTACCATGTTCTCTATACTCTCCCACAGAATGTTCCTAGAGCACACAACCATAGCCATATGCTTACCTCACTACAGTTTGGGATTGTACCATTCATATATGTGACTGACACACAGTATCAGGAAGGCATCTTCAGTCCTTATCAGGCCATCTTTGACAGGAACACAATAGTAATTATGGGTATGACCTGTGGAAGATCCTTCCTACATTGTTCACTTCCTTGTGATGTAAACTGGGTATGTGGCTATAGTAAGGAGGTGTCACTCAGTACAGCATACCTCTCTTGCAAGTTGTTCCTGGATGGCATCCTTCTCAAGAAGCTTGAAAGTATCAACTGAGAGACAACCATTGTGCCAACGTTTTCAGGGATCAAGGATGGAAAATGGGTCCTGCAACTTGCAGCCTGGGATGATCACACAATGAAGAAGGACCAGAAATGCAAATGGTGTGAAGTTTCAAAGGATAATGTTGACAGCCTTGAATTTGAGTGGAAGAACAAAGAACTGTAGTGTTACAAGCATGATGACAATTTCCACACCAGCAGGACGTATACAGTTGACTGTATGTGATTTTCCGAACCATCTTTACTACTCAATGAAATGACAATAATATGTTTAGGCATCACACACAATGTCCTGTCCATCCCAACAAACCGGGTCAAGAAATCTGTCATTCGTCTCAATGGAGCAGCAAAACTATACCTGAAGTACAAGGGTACTGGAAAGGACTGGAAGTGAGCATCATAGTCTTCTTTTCATTAATCTCTGCTAAATTAATGATTCTAGTTCTGAGATGAGTGTGCACTGGTCTGCAAACATCTTGTTCACCTCTAGTGCCCTTGGCTTGCAAGTTCAGCTCCATCCTGCTCACATTGTACCAGATATCCGTTCTACACATGTCATGCATGGCACTCCTGGACACAAGACCCAAAAACTAGCTCTTGAGCAACTCAAACAGAAGTTCCCTGACTCTGTCGATTTTGCAATTCTCCTGCACAATTTGAAACAAGACCTTGAAGGCATGTGGGCTGGTGTTCAGGTTCATACACACGAATTCTGTATCACACATCCAGTTTTCAACCAACATGGTGACCTTCTGCTTGAACTTATGGTCTGTGGCTCCAACTTCAATAACAAAATGGATGTAAGAGCTTGTGGATATTCTACCCTAAACAACAAGCACAGTGTCATGAGCCTAAATGGTAGTGTGACACCTGTCAACATGAATGGAAACAGTAATGCAACCAGTGAACATTGGTTTTGACACAGTATGCTGCCCTTGCTAAATTATTTCTTAGAACCGTTCCCAACGTCCTGATTTGTTTCATCAGCTGTGTACAAAGTAGGAGACGTCCTCCAGTCTTACTCTCCTTCTATCTCTCGTATGTCTAGCTCCTCGAAAGTCACGTCTACAACATTCGTCTCCTAAGAAACTATTACACAACAGAGCTCAACAGCCCAGATCACTAGCAACAAGCACGAATATTCCCAGTCAGACATTGAGGAAGAAGAGTTGTAGATGGTGGTGTGCCCTTCCATGCTGTTGTACTTGCATTGATTGCTGTAACAATAGTCTCTCACACTCTGAAGTGGACTCAGTACATGGTGTACCTTAGGCGTATCCGTTTACTATCCTCTTCACTAATATTTCTGTCCTACGTTTTCAAGACCAACTGTATGTACAATATAATTATGTGCTTCTGCTAGTGGTTTCCTATCAAAATACTAAGAAAGACAAACTTGCTGTATATCCCACTATTGCTGTAAATTCCCATAATTCATAGAAGAACCACGTCTGCACTGGAGTTACATTCATTGTCATTTACGTGTGTTGCAAATACAGAAACAATATAAAAGAACTAATACCAATAAATCGCAATTGGTAAGGAGAGAATATGACGATCACTTGGTTCCATATAAATGAAATTGATGTTTATTGGACTGATGGACAATACAGTGGCAGTATATCACATAGTTGTAAACAGTAAAGTGTAGAAAAGCAGAGTAAATGATTTGGTTTATGTGAGCAGACTTCTGAGTATTTGCTATGTTGCAGAGTGCTTTATCCTTGTTAATTGTATTGTGTAAAAACAAATAAATAGTGTTTGGAAAAGCAAAGTATTTTGAGACCACTTTAAGACTGCACTCCTTGACACATGAGGTGGATGGTAAGGGAAAAGATTCTTCTCATATTCTAACGCAAATCTAAAACAGTTTCTAGAATGAGTGATAGATAGATATGCAGATATATATATTTGAAGCTTTTTATAGGTACCCTCAATTTCCGTCTTATCTTTACCAATCCATTATCCTACATACAGGTGGGTGTAGAAAGTCTTTGGACACCCTAATTTGGAAGACGATTTGTGTTGCCTAAAACAGAACTTAAGCATTGTTTAAACATATGTTTTGCACGTCTGTAGAAATACGTGTCATAGAATAGAATTTTTTTTTTGCTACATTAATTCAATACCTGGTCAACAGCTTGATTCTCCCAAAAAAAACAGAATTATTGGGTCCTTAAATGCTGGTGCCTCTGTCAGAGATGCTGCTGCTCTTGAAAATGTCTCTAAATCTACTGTTCAATATCTCAAAACAAAATGGAAGGAGACCGAATCCATGTCGAATAAACCACGCTCTGGACGCCCAAAAAAGCTTGATGACATGTTGCACGAGATCCTTATTCACTGGGCTACAACTCATCGTTTCATGCCTCTAAATAATCTTGCAAAAAAGATGGGCATTAGTAAAACAACTGTCAGAAAGGAGTTACAGATGGAAGGATTGTACAGGAGACGTGTTAGAAGGGTTATTGCTCGGAATCCAATTCAGGAGGCTAGGAGACACATTTGGGCAGGCAATCATCAACACTGGGGGTTAGGAGATTGGAGCAACATTATGTGGTCTGACGAGTCATACGTCTGTATTGATGGAAATCATGGCAACATTTGGGTTACAAGAAGAAAACATGAGGCATACAAGAGATCATGCACTATTGAAAGGCCTACTCAATCTCCAGTCAGGATTATGGTCTGGGGATGTATTGCCTACAATTACAAGGGTCCACTTGTTATTCTACACTATCTAGGAGGAAGAGGAGGAGGAATGACAGCTGCCAGATACAAAGAACAAGTTTTGCTGCCTGTTATGATTCCAGCATTTCAGCAGCTTCAAAGGGAGAGGCCAGGACTTCTATTCCAGCAGGACAATGCTAGGTGCCATACAGCAAGAGCTTCTATCCAATGTCTTCAGGACAATCACATTCCTCAATTCCCTCATCCTCCAACTTCTCCTGATGTTAGCCCTATTGAACCAGTCTGGTTTGATTGGAAGAACATTATCAGGGCTCGAGAATCCTTACCCCAAACAGTTGAAGAACTCAAAACAGCTGTTATGGAGGCTTGGGACAGTCTCACAATTGAACAAATCAATAGACAGGTGGAATCCATGCCAAAGAGGGTAGAAGCTGTTGTTTTTGCAGAGGGCGGAAATACTGGTTATTGAATTGGCATTTTTTTTCTCAAAAAATAGACTGTAGATACTATAGAATTATATATTTGCACACAAATTTTTAATACATAGACGCAAAAAATTAATAATTGATGTTTTGTACTGGGATTTCGAGTTAATGCATGCACGAGTGCCGCGAGACGAAGGTTTTGATCGACGCACGCTGATCCTTCCAAAACGGGGTGTCCAAAGACTTTCTACACCCACCTGTATTTAACAGGTATTACTTAGAGTGTGCTTTATAATATGAATGTGTCCTTTATTCTTATAAAATTAAGGTGATTGGCAGTAGTTGTATTGAAATGACTGAACATCCGAGTTCTCATTCACTCTTAACAACTGTTTCTGTTATTTCTATCTAATTTATTTAATCATCTTTTCTCTTAACTAGCTTCTATCATATATTTGTCTATGAGCTTTACACGGACAGCGAAGTGTTTTCACTGCGAGTTTCCGGTATTGCTAGGTTGACGGCCCGCCTTGTTTTTGAGCTTGTTCTGCCTCCCATGCTGCTTTCCACCTTTTGTCTCTCCAGTTACTAAACTCACTTGAATTGAATGCTGAAAGAAATCCATACCCAACCGCACGGTGGGCTGCTGCTAAATCAACGTTTCCATTCTGATCGGCTTTGATTTCAACTTTTTTGAGCGTCCTCTTAGATCGTTGAAGTGCTTGGTTGACTCTGGTCGCAGCACCACTAGACCCTTCTGGTCTTCTCAGCCCTGACCAGCAGCTGTTGTTAAATACAACAGACAATAGACAGTATACAATCCACTCACTAACAATATATTTGTGTGGATCATGGGCATCTGTCTTAATGTCCATTGTCCATCCTTCATTCTCTGCAGCTATTGTGTAGATCGTATATATTGGTATCAAAAAAAACCCAGAAGTAGAATAGTAGACACGTACTCTGTCGTGTGCCACTGTCTCTCAAAGCTTGTTCAATAGTAGCAATGGCAGACATCTTCAATACAGTAAGTTCCTATGATCTTGTTCCTCTAAAGCTGGAGATGCAGTAGAGAAAGCATTCCTTTTATACCATTTTGATCACAGAACTGAAACATAGAACTATTGTTGAATGTTAACTGTTTGGGCAATGTGCAATCATGGTCTGAGATTGAATCTCGTCTCATTTCTGGTATTTAATGAATGTGCTACAATATTCAGATTGGTTTGAGACAAATTCGATTAGTACAATGATGTATGGCTGTGAACTAGATACTATAAAGCCTCTAGCACATTCTGTAGACACAGAACAACCAGTCCTTCTAGTCAAAGCAAGATCAAAGGTGAGATCGAGAGATTGTGTTTCAGCCTCTTGGATAGTTTATTCTCAAACATCAGTATATTAACTAGACTTATTGTTAGACTCACTACAAATATCTTCTTGAAACGCAAAGTTACACAAGTAAGGTCTTCTCTACTCTTTGTGTGTGCCAAATTTAGAGTAGACGGAATCCTTAGCAATGATGAGTCTCCTAGAGTTCAGAAGTATGTGTTTGTTACTGTTTGAGTGATTTGCTGATTGTCACCTTAACAACAAATTTGCAGCAATTCTTTCTATCATACCACATACTATACTCTCATTTTATGAAACAGAGTCTTTGAGAAGCTACACTTTGTGTGCCCACAAAATAGTAGTGTGATATAGGATTTTTTTCACCCATTCAATTCTTACTTTCTTACAAAGAGACAGGACATACAGAAGGGCCAGAACTAAAGTAGTAAATACTGTAAGTAAATACAGACCTCTAATCATCCAGTTTAATCTATATATCTTACTGGTGGAACAAAATTGTTTGTAAGAGTGAATTTCTGTATAAAGAATCAGAAGCTAGGCTTTGTAGGAGATTACAAATTTGCTTCCATATTGTACAATAGTTTAATATACTAGTACAATAAGTACACTCTAATATTTTGACAAATTTGTGTAACTGAGAGATTGAACTGTATCAATTGTTCAGATAAAATTTCCTAAGTTTAGCAGATACAAAAGACAGAGAAAGATTCACTTATATAACTTTATATTTAAGAAAATGTTTGTAGTAAGTTTAACAGTTAATTTAGTTAATATACTAATATTATAAACTAAAACTAACAAAGAGGCTGAAACTCAATCTTAAGTCTAATCTGACTGTGTCTAGAAGGAAGTACAGATTACTATTAAAAGAAACTAACATTGTAATTAGGAGACAGTAGAACAAGAAAGACTAACCTTTTTAGTATACTCAGAGTAAGACATACTAGTATACTTATAGTCTAACAGATATACTTTATAAGGAAGTATAGTATAGTGTATAGAATAAAATAAAATAGAGATAATACTAGAATTTAGTATGTAAAAGGAGGCACAGGCATCAAAATCTTGAGTACTGAGACACTCATTTTAAAGTATATATACTGAAAGGATTCAGTTGAAATTCAAGCAATATACAGCTTATAGACACAGATGTATACAAATGCTCTAGTACAAGAACTGTTAGACTTAGTTGTTACAAGTGTTATAATGTAAGGAAATTATATGAGTGTATACACTCTATAATAATACAAGAACTAGTAAAAGATTTAGAAACAAAGGAAGAAGATATACAATCCAAACTAATAGAAGTAGTTTAGATAACACTAACTAAGAACTTAACACAAGAAATTCACTAAGTAGAATTAAGCTAATATGTACTATATAAATTACTACAATTAATAGGATTACAATTTATAATTACATGCTGAATAATCCACAACAAGCTACTATACTACAACTGTACAGCTGTGCAACTATAGTACTGTATAAGGACACAACAAAGCTGTAGCTACAGAATAGTATTATTCTATAGAGTAATCTGGAATAAGATACAAAAGGAAACTTGTAATAGTTAAGCTTACCTAACAAGCTGTAAAGACCTGGATCTACTAGGAGTAACACAATATACAATTAAGATGATCTACTCTAAGGACAATGTACTAATAATAGATTTAGAGCACACTCTAATAGGAGGCATAATAATAGGATTAGGAAAGGATAAACAAGAATGGAGAGTACTGAATAATACAATAGTAGTAACTATAATACTGTATAGTATAATAGGACTGCTACCCTGTACCTAAAAACTATAATTAACTAAAGAAGTATAATAACTGAGGAAGACAAAGATAATCTAGCCAATTAATAAAAAGTAGTGTACAAAGCTATAAGCTATAATACAACTACATTAATCCCTCAATTCAAATTGAGCAACAAAGTATATGGACTCAACTATCCTAAAGTATACAACAAATAATATAGTAGTTAACAATACAACACTCACTAAACATAAGTGTACAGACCACCTAATGAACAGAGCCAATAGGCATAAACAGTAGATAAAATAATAAGTAGTAAAATGCAAGATATATAAGTAGTACAACATTAACATGTAAAGAGTATTGTACTCAATAACAGTTTGTTTTGAGAACAGCTTGTAAGCTAGCTATAACTCACTTGCTCTCATCTTATCCACACAATAAACTACTATTACTTCTTAAACTAATACACTTGAGTGTATTCCTAACAGTATCTACTCTCCTGTTTTGCTAGGTATAAGTACTATCAATACTGGTTTCTATACTAGTAGTAACTGAGACTATACCTAGGACTGATCCTAAGTGGTTACAGGATTCACTCACATTCTATGAACTGATTGTATGAGGTGGAACTTCTGTTGTAAATCTATAACATATATAGTATATACATATAATATAATAGTAGCTTTTTCTTAGATCTGTCTGCTTTGTATAATTACTATACATTATTCTTTTTTTACATAAGTATATTTACAGAGATTTGATACTAATTTACATGTATTTTTTAACAGAAGTAGTATATAGAATAATGTGTAAGAGGAGAATTAAAAACACACAGAGTATTATATTATTTTTGACACATACTGTATATATGTATATATGTCTATATATTTGAAGTGTTTTATTACCCTTCCCTCTCCCCCAATTTTGTCTTAAATTTACTAATCTATATTCTAGAAATATTAGGTAGAGTATATGTAACCTCTCAGGTTACACATGTAACTTAGAATACATATAAAAAGGCTATAGGTAGCTACTTTGAGTCTTATCTTTGTACTTTGCTCCTGTACTTAGGTTACTAGTGTCATACTCACACAACACATATGTTCCAATATGTTCTGATCAGAAGGGCTCAGTCACATCAAAGTCACATCATCCTCATGTCAGTAATCCTTCAATTACATTATTATTGTCTAAACAATAGTCTTGGTTACTCAATTTGGATTAGTTGGGTTCCAGACTACAGTTCCAATCCACAAAGGCGAGACTCTGAGCCCTCAGACAATTAGTTGATTAATACAAAGAGGATTCAGATCTAGAGTTCTAAATGGGTTGATACAAAGGAGACAGTGGTGGAATTGTTCACAAAGGACTAGTAGCTACAAAGGACTTGTATTTTCTATAAATACTCTCATGTAATTCATACTTTCCAGCAATCAAGTTACCCTCTACTACAATTCTTAGTGTGTAATTTAGCAGTCTCAGTAGTAAATGTTCTGCTTTATCTAGTCTCATCTCATATTGTCTTGTTCTGAGTACAGCTTTGTTGTTCCACACTATTCTTGTCTCATTAATTGTCACCTTCAGAACTTGTACATTCTGCTCAGATCTACCTAATCCTTCTCACACTTGATCCCTCTCAGTGTCTGTACCTTGCAGACTCAACTGATCTCTCTTCTACCTCAACCAGTACTAGAGATCAACACTAGTCTCAATCCCATATCATTGCCTGTTCTGTTTCCTGAGTGAGGCTCCAGCCTTACACTTTTTTTTGAACGTTACTTTGAATTGGTGATTCTCAAAAGCTACCTACTATGCTCTACCTGTGCCACTGAACTGTCAGCCACTCTACTGTCCTTTACTCACACGTCTACCATCTCCTGTACATCCACAGTACTCTTCAGCAATACCCTAATTAATCACGACTGTTACAACTACCATGCCAAACTCCTATTCACCTCCGAACACTCATCCTATGCAGTATGCGAAGAACGTTATCATTCCTCGAACTACCTTCGATCTCCCAACCGACCCTCATCTGATTGGTCCCTGGATCCCAGGAGAATGCGTCACGAAGAGGGCAAGTGGTCGTGTCAAAGTTGCGCGTCATTGTGAGTCTACCCATGTGGTTGCAAGCGAGGTTCTGCTACTCGAGAATAAGCTTTCTCCCGCCGCTATCTCGACACTCGTGCAACCAAGGCAGAGAAGTGCTGTGATGAAATAGACAAAGAAATCACCGTCACGAAGCTCGTGGACCATCCAAACGTCGTTCGCATCTTCAACAATGTCAACGGAGACTCGGAGAGTGGTGCCACTCCAAGCAGATTATCTACGGAGTTGCGTATGCCCATGCTTTTCCTGTCATTCATTGCGTCCAGTAGACTGCCTTCACTCCACCTGAACACTGTCTGGAAACAACCTGCAGGAACTCTCACCATGCTAGTCCTAAGATTGTACGAGGAGAATGCTATCTTTCGCCCTCTGTTTGACGTGTCCGAGGTCTTTTCCTTGTTCTGGACTACATCAACGGTGGAGAGCTCTCTGACTACCTCGTAAACCATGCTGTCTTTCCTCCACCCTGCCAGCTCCTATTATGCGAAGAGAGCGCTATCTTGGTACTGCTATTGGTATCTGCCCTGTTATCTACTTGGCTCCGAGATTACTGTCTTCTTGTTTGGCGGACTGTACTTGAACTCCGCCAGAGGTCTCTGCACGCCCTTATTGACGAGTCAAAGTCTTCCTGGACTCGTGACAGCGTGTCCCTTATGATCCTCATCAACATCCACTCTTGAGCTTGTGTCCGTCGCGCAAATACTGTTTCCAACTTTCCACCGTTCTCTTCTGTACCAAACTCTAATCCCTTATTTCCTTGTCCCTGTTCTGTTGCTGTTACCGGATACCTATGTCTTGCTCAACGTCGTCCAGTGTCCGTCTCATAGAAGGATCCTTGATCTTCGTCTTCTTGTCTAGGAAACTGTACTTGAACTTGCTGGAGGTCCCCGGAGTCGACGTCTTCCTGGACTCGTCACTGCGTGTTCCTCATTGACAGCCATTCGTCCCCATGCATTTTCATTGACGAGTCGAAGTCTTCCTGGACCCGTCATTGCGTGTTCCTTATCAGCGGCAATGCTTTCTCTCGCGTCTGCTATACTGTATTACTGTTACCACTATTTTCTTCCGTACCGAGTCCCAGTCCGACGTTCCCTATCCCTGTTACTGTTGCTCTGACAGGATACCTAGGCCTACGTCGTCCTGACTGCCGTGTTGTCTCATTCCTCGTCTTTCCTGAGACGATCGATTTGACTCATTGTATGCTCGTCGTTGATGTTCATTTTCTCTCCACCGACGTCAAGATGTCTAACCACGTCTCTGTCTCGACAGCCGATCTGCTTTGTCGTATACTCATTGTTGATGTTGAAGAGCGTATCACTCTATCCGAGATCCCTAGCTACCTGCCTCTGATTCATGCCACCTCCAGTATAACCTTGCGACTTCATATTCCTTGCTTACTAAGCATAGAGAACGTATGCTTGGAGAATATGGAATGCAGAGTCGAGCCTCCCAGTCCCAGTCCCAGTCCCAGTCCCAGTCCCAGTCCCAGTCCAGGACCTAGTCAGGGTATAGAGCCCCTGCTAGTGTCACCTCCAGTCCCAGGATCTAGTCAGAGTATAGATCCCCTGCTAGTATCACTCCCAGTCCCAGTCCTAGTTGTGTAACCCAGGTTTCTTTTCTTATTTTCTTTCTTTCTATTGTCTCTCTTTTTTTCTTTAGTTCTCCTTCTTTCCTTCCCTACCCCCTTTTATTTCTTCAGAGTAAGGAAGAGTGTAACCTCTCAGGTTACACACATGACTTAGAATACATATCATCAGGAAAAAGTCACATTTCTTATAATATATTTTAGACTTTGTAAAGTAACATAAGTATTGTATGTATATTGTAAAGTAATTACAAGACTTGTAAATCAATTGTAAAGTTTGTATAAGACATGTCAATGTATATAAAGGCTAAGTAAGTGTTATGAATGAATACAATCTATTACAAGTATTATACTAACTTTGTATAATAGTACTAAGTATTATGCTTGCATTACATTTTTATTATAATTTTAAAGAAAGGGTGATATTGACAATATAATAATAATATTGTTGTTGTTGTTGCCTTCTAATTTATGCAAAAGGTATATTAATGTATATAATAGTGTAAGAGCACTTGCTGTATCATTATTATCTTAATAAAAGTATACTATAAGTATATAATATGTATATTATACTTGGACTATCTATACAAATAGTTTACAATATTTGTAAAAGTTATTTCATCTACTTGTAATAATTACATAAGTGTGTTTAGAAAGCTATATACTTGTCATATTACTTTTTACTATATTACAAAGTAGATCAATTATTTATTTTATACCTAAATACAATAATTGAAATGTTCTATCAGTTGACGACTCATATTATAGTTGCTTATGTAATCAACTGCTGAAGATCGAGAGCATATAATGACGCATTTCTCTTCGTCACTCCTTTACCTCCTACCTTCACCATCTCCCCAACCCTCTGCCCCCAACGCTATGTCGTCGCTTCTGTTCTCTCTAGTCAAGTCCTCTGCTCGCAAGCGTCCTACCAGCAGGCACTCCGCCTGCTACAACATAGACAATAAACATCACTGTACTCGTCTCTCCAATCTGCTGTTGCGATGCCCGCGCTGAGCCTCAGATCGCGCAATGATGCTACTGAGCTGACTACACTGTCCTTCAACATAAAGCGTAAGCAGCCAGTCCACTTCACAATAACCTGCACAATAGTTGCTCATCCATCTCCTCCCAACTTTTTGTCTTTCATCCCTCCCATCCCTCCCACTCCTTGCTCCGCCGCTTGCGTTGCCTCTCCTCTGTTGTCCTTCTTGTTTTATGCTCGCCTTCCTTTTTGCATTCGCATTCGCACTTCTGCATTGTTGACCAATGCTGAACGAGTTCTTCAATAATTCCATGTACTCACGT